TGAGTCAATGTCTATTACCCTCAATAGACGTTCTGTTAGCGATTGGTAGACATACCTTAACCTCCCCTGCTTAGGCCAGATGGGGCAGATGCGCCTGCCGATCTTGGGCAATTAAAATTAGAAAACGAGTGAATTGAACAAGCGTAGTGCTGGCTAGAGTAATGTCGGTTCGGTACCATAAAGAGTTGAGCTAGCTGATGATATCTTTGCAATTCTTCGTTATCGAAAAACTGCTGCAAGAAGTCTGCTAGGTTAGTGGAGCGAAAGAACAATAAAAATGTGTCATTACCTGTACATGTGCAGTCAGAAGGTGTCATATAAATTCATAGGCAATTAGCGCACACTGACAAGCGAATGTTTGAACATTTATACAAAAGCTCACAGCCCATGCGTGTTTGCTGTGACACCGGGCAGTGTAGCGACCATTTGTCATTGCCTGACATAAGACAGATTGCGCGCGTCAATAGGTGTATAGAATAGGTTCGAGGTTGCGATGTTAGGAACCGAGAAATCACACGTAATCTTTTTTCATTCTGGGGTCTCCAGAAACAAATGCTAGCATCCACGACACAGCGGTAGTAGCCGTATAAGTACGGTGAAAATATGACAAATTAGCGTTTGTTCGCTGTGAGCACTGCCTCAAACTCGCGACCCGTTAGTAGCGTGTAATGTTGTTTTAGCCAAGAAACAACAAAGAACTCGATACTTCTCATAAGCTCCGGGTGACGTGCGCGTGATCGATATAGTAAGGAGACACAGGAAACGAATGAATCTGTTAAACGCTCGATGGCTGGCCTCGTCTGGCCGTCAATGGATAGGGCATAGACAGAAACACAGCGTTATGATGATAAGTGCAGTGAATGTTAAGGCTTTAGAGTAAATCGTGTGTGTGTGAGTAAATTAAGCATAAACGCGACGTATTGATTCTGCAGTTTGTTTCTACTGTGTGTGTCAATGATTTGGTAGAGACGAGCGGAAGCAATAGCGGGGATACCGGCGTTTACTAATAAACTGATACCCTGCCCCAGATTGTACACTTCGTTGCAAATTATTCAAGCAATTTGAGCTGATTCTTGTGAGGACTCAATTAGTGATTGCACAAATTGCTTCTCTGCCTGAGCTCGCCAAACTCATCTCATTATATTAACGCACGATATATATTATTATTCCGCTGAATGGTATGCATCGGCCCTTATCCATTGCGATGCGTCTGAGTGTAGTACATATGATGCTAGCTGGTATTATGATTCTCAAATCACCGTTGTTTGTCTTATTTATGTGAGCGATTAATGAATTGATATGTGGCAACGCGCTGTAGAGTCCCGCTGCTGCGTTGCAGTGCAAACAATGAAGTTGAATATTCACCAATGAAAAGGCTAGCAGCAGAACGCGAGCGCGTCTGTGTTGCTCCTGGTCTTAGGAATGATTTCCGCTGACCATGATTGTAGGTATCCGTTTAGTGCGTCCTTTCGTAGACAACTTCCTCAAGCGCATGCCCTAAGCGCTGAACACTTCGCGATGCATCACGCATTGACGAGGGTTGAACTTCATCGGTGGTTCGAAGTGTAGCTGAATACGCACTGTGTGTAGCCAACCTATCGGGCAGAATACTCCGGAAATTCCAGGGATTGTGAAAGTAGGAACGGCAACGGAATTAGGATTGGGCAGCTGTCTGGTGAAAATGACGTCTCATTTCAACCCCGCATCCTTCCACCAGATTGCTTGTATCTGGGTTTTTAGGTGAGACGACTCGGGTTCTCGTACGTCGACAGCGTAGAAGGGTAGCAGAGTTTGTTTACGTCAGGCAATGGTAGAAGTTAGCAAGCAGCGGCGTAGATAGCCAGAGGTAAGCCGTAGTCGAGATTAGTTGTTCTCACATGGACTTTTTATTATTAACTAAACAGTACAAAATATATACTACGGCCACCTAGGTGGGTGACGATAGCCTAGTCCCGTTCGTCTCGTTTTCGTCTATATACTCGTACATCGTCGTATACTCCTCTGGGTAGGTAACTGCCCTCTGTCTGTCGAGCTGTCTATTTATAGATTTCCAAAATCCCCGGCGACTTTTGAATCCAATCCGGTTCTTCGTCGCGGACTAGCGAGACACGTGAAGACTATTAGCGCATAGTATCTAAGACCGTACAGTACCGTGTCATTTACCAAACAACACACGAACCACCAGGCAGAGCACAGACTAATATACTGCCTCGCCTGGCTAGAGCGCTCACTGGTTGATTCAGGTGTAAGCATACAACAATCCTTCCTTCATCTCTTCAACAGAATTTTTATGTCCCCACAAAAAAAATTCAGTATACATCAAAAAACAAACGACATGCACACAAACCTCTTCACACACGTCACACACACATTACACACGCCCACACATCACCATACACACACACACCACACACACACACAACACACACACGACACACACGACACACACACACACGCGCTGGCGCGCGCGCGGCATGCACACACATGACAGAGCGGAGCGACAACAAACGGCGCAGACTGACGGCAGAGACGAGACGCGACAGCCGGACGCGGAGCGATGGATGGGATGTACGAATAGATAGAATCTGATGGATAGATGTGTGGGTGGACGGATTTGGTATAAACAGGAGGGTTCGACGGACAGGCGACCGGACAGAGACGGTTCCGGAATAGACGACGGGACGGACGGAGGTTATAAGACGTACAGACGACGGACGGGACAGACAGACGGCATGAGACGCGACGGATGGACGGGACCAATCGGTCGGACGTGTATACACTGGCAGAGGGAACACGCGCGACAGACCGTAACGTACGGACGGCACGGACGGACAGACGTGGAATAGCGAACGACGATAGAAAGAGGACTCACACAGCTAAACAAATTAATACAAACAATACACAGTCATGCCTATACAATCACGCACACGACACAGGCACGTACGTAAAAAAACGCACTGCACACAACGCACGCACGCAACGCACTTATTACGTACACGTAAGCATGAGTATAATATAGTCTACTACCAAACTTGCTCTGTGGCATCGTGAACTACACCAGATCAGATGATTTATGTAAGTCAACATTGACAATGTATTGTAGGCCTTTGTTACTTTGTACTCAATTGTGTTTTCCTTCTTTAAGCTGACGGGTCTTGCAGCATGATGCTTATGCCTTAATCTTCATTCTTGCGTTTTACATTCATCCACTCTTAGTCGTTCCATTCATCATTGTGTTTTATTTCAAGAGCGTCAGCCGTGGCTGAACTGTAGATTTTCCTGACGCATCACTGGTAAGTAGCCGAATATAAGCTGAGAACAACACAACTCACGGTACTGTTTTTAGTACGAATATTTTAAGTAGGACTAAAACGTCGTCACACTCTCACTAAACACACACACACCACGCGCGGGACCTGACACTGGCGGCGCACGCAGCGGCGAACAACCAAATGCATGCACGCACACACACACGTGAGACGTCACACAGACATTCGAGCACACGTACATCACTATACACACACATACACACATACACACACACACACATACCCACATCCCGCATACACACACACGCAATGCGCGTGCACCCAGCGGTATCCCGCGACATCCCAATACACACATACGCACATTACACAGCAAACACGACATTACAACACCATACACACATACGCAACATACACACATACCCGCATGCACACACAATTCGC